AACCGACCGTCCTAGTCGGCAAATTTCAAATGTCCGCTAGTGATGTGGCGCTACAATATTTGGCTATGTCTTGGCTACTTTAATATTATTTTTACGTGTTTTAGCTGGCAACATTGGATCGACCATGAAAGGGAGCCAGTATTTAAACGAAGCTTAATTTTCTAATTTTTAACAATACAATAGCGACGATTATTATTTTTTAAAAAAATTTGATAGGCTTAACATGGAGGAAAATTCAACTCGAAGTAGGTAAATAGCAATATACTAATATACTAATATACTAATTACATGGGATATAATAATATACTACACTAATAATGGATTTTTTCATACTTTTCAGTTATCCGGCTTTTCAATTATCCGACCAACCCCCGTCCCCAATGGAGTCAGATAATCGATGCTTTACTGTATTAGAATTTTCGAAATACCGTATAACGCTATGGACGAATGATACGGAATAAAATCAATTTTTCATACCGTACAAAATGTTAAAGCCGCAATGTTTGATAGCGGGTACAATGAAAACTTTCTCATTTTCCTTTAACACTTTAACTAACTCTCTGGCATTATTTTCGATTATGGGAAGAAACGAATGCAGCACATTTAGGCGAAAGGCGGGTAACAATAGTTTCTTCCTTTCTCTATGAGCTCCGTCATTTCTGAAAAATACTAATATAATAAATAATAACACGTAATTGTTAATATAACGCATAATATAAATCGCGGAAGAAACCAACACCCAGAAGCGGATCTACGTAGGGACTAATAGGGCTTATGCCCCGGGCCCCCGAGTGTCCGGGGCCAAAAAAAATTGAATTATTATCATAAATTCTTAAGACTTTTTCATTAACAACTAGCATTTATCGTATAGTAAAAAATAGTTAATATTAATAATGTAATAATAATGATAATTTACAGTATTGTTTTATTGTAAGCGATGTAACGTAATTGGTCGAGTCACCGCGTTGCAATTTTAAACCCCAATTTAAAAATTCTTAATCTAACAAAAAGTGGGGCCCCGTTGGATTTCGATAAGCCCTAGGCCCGAAAAACCTAAATCCTCCTCCGCTAACACCGCTTCGCTTTCCTTCCGTCCCATCCAATCATCGGCAAATACGCCTTCTTTTGCAGAGGCCACCTTTTATTACAGGCCCGGTAATTGGACTGGACGGAAGTTAAAGCGATTAATAGTAATAAATAAAAATTAACAATAAAATTCGTAGTTAATTAAATTAAAGAATGGTTTGTTTGTGGCAACGCAACACTTGGGCCATCTGCCTAGGGCAGGGGTCGGCAACCTGCGGCTCGCGAGCCACATGCGGCTCTTTGGATGTGAAGCTGCGGCTATTTAGTTCCATACGCAAATATTATTTATTTTATCAAAAAAAAAACATTTAAAAAAACGTTCTGAATCGATTAACGAGGATTAAGCACTGATTTTATCTCTCAGCCACTTGTACTCGCTTTTCACCGCACCCCTTCCACGTGACACGCGTCGTCACTGTCGTCAGTCGGTCGGAAGCTCTCGAATGACGCCGTCGTCGGATGTTTCTATTATCTAATTTGTTGTGAAAAACACTACTTTTATAATGAATAAATAGATTAGTTTTTTTTTTTATCAAAAAACTTTATTTATGCGAGTACTATTTATTGTTGGCAAGAAAAAATTTTGTGGCTCTTTAAAAACTTTGTAAATCGTAATTTTGGCTCTTCCGACTCGAAAGGTTGCCGACCCCTGGCCTAGGGGATGCCTTCCGGGAGGTCTTTTAAGGGAAACTGGCCGCTAATTAGGCGTTATAGACGTGGAGAAAACCCGGAAAATTCCGCACCACCAGCTAGTCCGAGCGCGGCGCGAACTTACGACCGAACTCCCAGTGTTCAGGGTACGAAAACCGCTCGGCCACTGGTGGGCCGAATAACGGTTTGAAGAGCGATACACCTAAAGAGATCGGCCATATTCAGTTACCGTGTGTACTGGCATATATTGATTACGGTAAATGCGTATGTAAGCCACGTAAAAGAGGCTCGCGCGCGGTTTTGCAAACCGTAACTCATTATCGCCATTATTTTTTACTAATTTGAACGCTGGCGCGCAATGACGCATGAGAAAATTCCAATTTTGTGTTATGAAATTATTCCAAGCTCGCTTCTAGCAACAGCGGTTAGTATCGTAATGCCGAGTTGTACTCCTCGTATTTCCATAAAGACGGATATAAATCGGGCATGCATTTCCTCGTTTATTTTCCATTCCAGACCCGATGACACAATGGCTTTAACATCAAGATCAATTTTAACCGTTTATTCGTTTGTTGAAAATGGATAAGCGCGATTAACATTAATAAACGTAGACGTTTTCGTGCACAGAAAGTCCGAGTACGCTTTTGTCGTGTTAATTACAAATGCCAATCTCTCAATATTTAATTAAATCTTTTATTTCAAACGATTTTGTCTAAATTGGCAGAAATTTTATTAAAATTAATAAAGCAAGAACCCTTAGGTAGGAACTGAGATATGACAGTAATTTTACTATTCGGGTTATTAATTTTTGTTCAGTTTTTATTTTTATTGAAATTCTGAATTAAATAGTAAATATATAATTATTACTTATAATTTTGTTAATTTTGTTGATTGTTAGGAATAGCTTTATATCCAGTTAATACGTGCAAAAAGTATAATCATTTCGATTTTATATTATTATATTTTTATTAAATAAAACAGTTTATAAATCGTAGATAATACGAGTAATTGAAGAATTTCTATTACAAATATCTTCTGGGCTTTAAGGTGTAGGTAGCATTTTTGCCTGTCATCCGTCCTTCTCTCTCGGGCTCTTGTTCTTTGCAGTTTTTGTAATAAAGCAATTTTGGGTCGTTTATTATTGTTCGTTCTCGCTACGCTTTGCTCTTTATCATTTCATTTTGTAATTAGAATTATCGTCGACCATTCCTGTTACTTTTAATTCTCGGCCTATCTCGGCACTCCTTTTTCTATCCGATATTGTACATCCCGCTACTGGTTTTAATAAGCTCGTTTCTGTCCCACGAGGAAGAGAAATCGAAGGTGTTGAAACCTTCGATTTCTCTTCCTCGTGTTTCAGAATTATATTTCATAACTGACTTACTCATCGTTTTATGTAGGTAGGCTACATTACAGTGTGCCTATAGTTAAATTAAAGCTTCCCCAATTCCGAGGACCGTGTATTGTAACTAATAAGTTAACACTATATAGGAAGAGGTTTCTCCCTTAGGTCTCGGTGGCAGATGGTCCAAGTGTCGAATAAACTTAATTCATAACTCAACTCCACTACTTTTAATTTTTTGTGTTTATAAACGGACAGAAATTTTTATTTCCAATTCGCCCAGATCTTTCTGTATGTTTTATAATTTATAGGGTCCTTCTCGTATATTAATGGTGTCTACTCGTAATGTAATCAACGTTTGTCTTCATATACCAATGAAAAAGAATCGTTGTTCGCTCTTTGGGAGTTTCGAATATTCAATATTTCGGATGAACTGGGAACCGACCTTATTTTTAAAAGAGCGTAGCGATGAAGATGCGACTCGGAAGATGTCGCAAAATACCTTAGTTTGAAATCAAGTGTTTCTTCTCCCGAATATTATTATCTGAGATTCATAATGTAGAATCATTCTATAACATTTAAAGTGTTAATTAAAGTCTTTTCAACGCGTTTTTGAAATTTTTAAGCAATTATTTAGGACGGTGCATTTTTTTTAAAAAAATCGTAAAATATAGAAAGTGCTGAAAAAGAATACAAAGTAAAATCTTTAAAAATGATTACCTCATAAAGACAGAATCTTCAATCCAGTTTTTAAATCCATTATACAAAATGGATTTATTAATACATTCGGAGTCACTCAATAATACCTAAAAAAAATAAATAAATGCATATTTTGATTTGAAATAACAGTCTAATGCAAACATTATTTAAAAATTAATAAAATTTCATAATTTAGTAAGTGAATCAGTTTCGGCAAAATCACTTATTGTAAAAGCGTTATAATAGAGATAATGCAAGTAACTGCGCTGTAAAAAGTATCACTACTACTGATTGAAAGAACATAATTCCCATACGTCTAAATTTAATGGGCGCGACGATAGCGATATTTCGAAATACAGTATATTGTCAAACCATCCATTTCGCCACGATGTAGGGGTAAGTGGATCGCGTATTTTTCAGTTATGACAATCTAACTAATTAAATACGTACGCAACAAAACAAACTCTTACGTTAAAATAGTTTAAAATAGAACTATTTGGACCCGATGGATATGGAAAAAAGCCTTCTTATGCTGGAAAAACAGAAAGAGGGAAAAATAAAACTAAAGGCCCCATTCTTTACCATCGTTATGTAAGTACGTAATCGATTTTAATGTTCTGGTTCTTCTGGACCGTCCCCGAGAATTTCACTTCGCTTTTAATGCTTCGGAAATTTCTGGAGACCATTTAGCTTTCTGGGAGTCGAGAGCTCCGGTTCTTTTCTAGTTGTCTCTATCGATTACCCGATTAGCTTCCATTGTGGGTTAGGTCGCGCCGGTAAAGATGACAAGTTAGAGCCGAAAAAAGAGGATAACGGAGGGTTATTATTTCTATTATCGAGTTCATTTATAACTTCTGTAAATAAATCTTCATAAATGCTATTGACCACTTAATCCCATCAAAAGTGATCGGAATCAGCCTTTCGCAACCAGTGCTGATATTCGAAATATTTAACGAAGGGTTCGCTAACAGAAAATTTTTCCTTAACAATTTTTTTTCACTCAAACGGTGCATTAGCAACATTAGCGCAAAAAACTGACCTTAAGATACCCATATAAATAAAAAAAGATATATATTACTGAAGATAAAACTGACATAACTACACGGTCAGTCACCAACACCGACAAACATAGTGGAAGTTTTGGTTAGAAATAAATACAATACTTTTTCTTGCGATATATCTAATAATAGACAGATGTCACCGTCTCTCGAAATACAATATCTTTTTNTAATACCCAAAAAAAATAAATAAATGCATATTTTGATTTGAAATAACAGTCTAATGCAAACATTATTTAAAAATTAATAAAATTTCATAATTTAGTAAGTGAATCAGTTTCGGCAAAATCACTTATTGTAAAAGCGTTATAATAGAGATAATGCAAGTAACTGCGCTGTAAAAAGTATCACTACTACTGATTGAAAGAACATAATTCCCATACGTCTAAATTTAATGGGCGCGACGATAGCGATATTTCGAAATACAGTATATTGTCAAACCATCCATTTCGCCACGATGTAGGGGTAAGTGGATCGCGTATTTTTCAGTTATGACAATCTAACTAATTAAATACGTACGCAACAAAACAAACTCTTACGTTAAAATAGTTTAAAATAGAACTATTTGGACCCGATGGATATGGAAAAAAGCCTTCTTATGCTGGAAAAACAGAAAGAGGGAAAAATAAAACTAAAGGCCCCATTCTTTACCATCGTTATGTAAGTACGTAATCGATTTTAATGTTCTGGTTCTTCTGGACCGTCCCCGAGAATTTCACTTCGCTTTTAATGCTTCGGAATTTTCTGGAGACCATTTAGCTTTCTGGGAGTCGAGAGCTCCGGTTCTTTTCTAGTTGTCTCTATCGATTACCCGATTAGCTTCCATTGTGGGTTAGGTCGCGCCGGTAAAAATGACAAGTTAGAGCCGAAAAAAGAGGATAACGGAGGGTTAATTGGTTTTCATTCATCGATACGGTTTATTACCACTTACCGCGCAGTATCGATGGATAGATCACACCCACACAATTGACCGCGCATACTTAAAATTTTAAAAAGGCGAAAACAGTTTAACCTCACTTCTCAGCTGCCAAAGATGGCCGACTTACCTGAATGTGATCCGGACTAAATAAAATCATATATTTGATGACTATGAAATTAAAAGCGAAATATCCTTTCTCGTACACGTGATTCAACATCTCTACAATCGGTAACGAATCTGGCGACGAAAGAAATCTTATATAAAAACACATTCTTACATACAAAAAAATACATTTAAATATATATATATTTTTAACCATTTGAAATTTGCAGAAAAATTTCTAATGATTTGCGATAGAAATATAATTTCATTTCTTCCGCTAAGTTGCCCTTACCTGTGTTAATAATACTTTCGTTACAAGTTGTAGTTAACCCTATTTCAATAATAATTGAGAAACGTCTGGCTTGGGCCCCGCCTGCTAGAAAACGCCGGAGTTTTCCTACGCTCGAATGCCACCAAGACGGGTGCCGGCAGCGCCGAATGTTACACTGGCGACTTTTCCACGTAAATTTTTTACGGAAATGTCTTTTCTGTCTCGACGTTTTGAAATGTCGGATTTGGTGGCATTGATAAACATCTCTCTAGAGGGCATTAACCGGGCCAGTTTAATTCGTTCGGTATATACTATACCACCCAAAATATAGCCTGGAAGGGCGCCTTTAACAGCTGTCGAAATAGAGGAAAACGAAGAATTTATATATTTTTATGAAATAGATAACTTTGTAGATAACTTTTTCGGACATTTCAAATTAATGCCACGGGTGGGTAACGTCGAATTAATGAACTTTGCAGGGGGAGACGGGAGGGTAACAGCGCCGGAGATTGAAAATACTCTCTGGTATAACCTCGCGTAAACAGTTTTTTGAAAAACACAGAAATGATTATTGTTTACATGAAATTAAACAAAGCCAACATATAAATTGACCGAGGGATTGCATTCGTTACTCTCCAAGAATGTTTACGAAAGAATTGGTTACCACGAAAGACAAAATGAAGAGCTTTTTGTTTGCCAACGGGGACTCGAGGAAGACGTCAAAGCTTTGCATAAATCTACAAACGTCGTTGACTCAGTATGGAAATCGCCTAGATTTACTTATTTCGTGGATTTACGAGATTGTAAGGGCTAATAGGGCTCGAGCCCGAGGGAATCCGACTTGTAGGGAGTCCTAAGGCGCAACGCGAAGCGAGGAATTGTTAAATAAGCGATAGGAGTGCGGAACAATGCCGATTTTAAAATTTTTTTAGCCCTTTTAGCACACGGGGAGAATACAGTTGGGAAAGGGTTTAAAAAACAAGAAATATCTTATTAAAGTGAAAAAATAATTGTAATGCGGACACCGACCGGCACATAACTTTCCTATACTTTCTGCAAATTTACGTTCAGATATGTCTGATTTTAAAAACATCAACTGGTAGAACACATCCGGTTGTAATCTATTTATACGCTTTTTATTAACTTATTCTGTCTATCCATCTGTTTGTCTGCCCAGATAAAGTAAGTCGAAACTTTTCGTACGGGGTATTCCCGATGACAGTACACTCTTTTAGACTGCGAGCAATTTTAGCGATTATCAAACAACTAGCAGGTGGGCCCGGCATTGCTCGGGCAAAAGTAACGATAGCGAAGATTAAGATTATTACGTTATAGTCAACCTTACCCGTTTTCACAGAATGCAAAAATTGGATCCCCCGTTTCCAGACTAATTAGAGAATTTTTACATGGGTCTAAAAATATCTTCAATTTCCTGCAAAAACGAAAACCAACTGCACTTTCTCTTAAAACGTCGCTTTCTCTTAACAATTCCATTGTTACGTAACACGT